AACAAATGTAGGTTCCCTGGTCTTTTTGTGATAATGAATAAAATACATATTTACATTACATTTACATATATTTACATTTACTCCTATCGTCACCACTGTAAAGAAATTTGAGCTGGTAAATTTCTGTATAATGAACCAAATCACATCAAACCACTCAGAATGACTTCATACTCACTTGACCACTCAGTTGACATCTCAACAAATGAATTATGCAGAAACTATGAAAAATCTTGTGCGGACAGACTGAGGTTGAGTTTAGCCACTCCAACAGCCAGAGGCTAGGAAAAAGCTCACATGGTGTAATATACATATTTACAAACATTCATCAGGCTTAGGTTCTTTTTAAATCTAGGTCAATGTGATCATATTACTGCTTACGCAGAGCTGTTAGCTTGAACCTACGTTAAGGGCACTCTGTAGAACCTGCAAGTCCTGAATGCCAGTGATCTCCCCCAGTTGGTTAAGCAGCATTTCATTCTAAACACATAAACATACAAAATGTTACCAAGATCAGCAATAATTTATGGCATTTGCACGTAAAATAAAGGGTGTTGCAAAGCGTCTGTGCAGAAGTGTAAACCGAGGACTTCAAAAACAGTGCAAATGATATGAGAAGCAATTTGCCCTCAGATTTATCACCTCAACCACTTCACTTCAGGCTCTAATTTCACCTGAATGAAGACTGGAGGCAGCGGGGAGCCGCACAGCACAGAACAAATTACATATGATAGACTCTTATAAGATAACATCTTACCAGAGACATTCCTCATATAGACACATGTGCCTCTCAGGGTGAGGCATATTAGACTGTGATAGCCACAGAAATCCACCTCGCACAATCTCAGTCTCTTATTCACTCAGTCTCTCAGATCAAGTCTCCTCTCTTTGTTAAATCCTTGTCATAGGTGGTATGTAAACATTAAAAAGACCATGGACCAAACGAGAGGAGCACAGGGGGGTGAGGGGCTATATAAAGCAGCTCAGGCAGCAGGTGGAGATGTCAAAAAGGCTGTGAAGGCAGCCAGACACACAAGCCTGGGAGCAGGAGACATATATGGAGAGCTGAAGGCCTGGAAGCCCTGGCTCACGCTCTATTTTAGGCCCCGACACAGATAACGGCGCTGTTTATCATGCCCCTCACCATGTTACCCAGGGTTTGAGTGACAAAACCAGTCGGAACTTATCAGGAAAAAAATCACTAACCTCTGACACAGACTGGAGTACATACAGTGAAATAAATCATTACTCTTTAAACCATTAAAGGTTAAATCAAGACCAAGCTAGTTACCACAGAAGAGGAACAGAGCATAAACTCAAAACAAAACACAAAGATACATGCAAAAGAAGGACTTTTTTCCAAGTACATGTTTGCACTACCTGTCAAACTGATAAAATATGCTAATAACTGTATAATGTAGATGGCCAAGAGGTAGAGAAAGTATGGGAAACAACCTCAGTCATGTCATAAAAAATCAACAGTAATCAGTCAGTATCACTCAGCTGTTTGCAGCTTTGACACAAATTAGCCAGTAACTGTTGTGTTGAGAACGCATGAACAGCAGGAACGTAATTTTATCTTTAACAGCGAAAATCTTGTAGCTACGTGTTACAGCACACTGCTCACCAAGTTCGCGGAATTTTCCCCATGTTCACAGTCTTGTTCCACTTTCATGGCAGCAGTGCAGGACAGTTGGATTTTTCACCCCCAAATTCCTTCGCCCTGACTTCGGAGTATGACCTACTCCATGGAGCACTCCCGCGGAGATTTTTTCACACCCGTATTCCGACAAGCCCCGCCTCCCGCGCTATGATTGGCTATTGTTTCCCGGCCGCTTCGCTAAGATTGGCTACGAGTTCATACTCACAAACAGTCCACCGCGAATCAGGACACGGCAGCCGATCAGCGAAGGAGACAGGCCAGAAAAGGCCAATCCAAACACAGGAGGAGAGTACTATTAACCAATCACAGCGCAGGAGGAGGACATTTCCGAAACACAGGTGAGAAATATAAGGAACGATTTGTTTTAAAGTGCTACACTTTCAAAAAGGAAACTTTATAGAACTTAGAAAAGTTGAAAAGAGGTAAATCCTACGGTGGCCATTAAGCACAAAAAGATACTGCGAGAGTACGAATGTCGACTTTAAAGACAACCAGAAAATAATGAAAAAAAAAAAACATTAGTCAAAACTGACTCTTTTTATCTTATTGGTTCTTGTGTCTGTCCATATGATGATGATTCATCATATACCGTTCAAAAGACAACATTTTTGTTTTTCCTTTATTGTCCATCAAAATGCAATTACTTTTACATCATGTTTCACCTCCCCTTCAAATCAAATCAAATCAAATCAAATCAGATTTATTGTCACATCACAAGAGTACAGGGACACAGGTGAGTGAAAAACTTGAGTGCGAGTTCCACAAATTATGCAGAGAACAGTATTTACACATAGATAAACAAAACTATAGATAGGATAGAAGAATAGATAAAACCAATTTAACTAAAATATATACATATAATCTTACACAATAACTTAAAAATAATAATATTGCACCGAGACATATAATATTGCACTGGGAATGTAGAGTGAGTGTAATCAACTATATACTATATATAGTAATGGATATTACAATGCTATGTAGATGTGCAAGTAATCACACTAGGTGTGGAGGTAGAAGATGGTACAGTAGGTGGCAGAGTATTTAGTAAAGTGCAAGGTACAGGAAGTTAAGTGGAAGCGCAGGGGGAGAGTATTGTCTTTGGATAGGTATTCAAAGTCCAGCTATGCAAGTAAAGTGCGGGAGTACAGTGGGTGCACGTACGTGTAATGGGAAGGGTTGGGCTGGGCAGAGCAGTGATTACTGGCTGTTCAATAGCCTGGTTGCATGGGGGAAGAAGCTGTCTTTGAGCCGACTGGTTCTGGCTTTTAAGCTTCTGAGCCTCCTACCACTCGGCAGCTGAGAGAACAGACAGTGACTAGGATGGGAGGGGTCCTTCATAATCCTTCTGGATTTCCTCAGGCAGCGACTGGTGTATAAATCCAATAGGTTAGGGAGCTGAACCCCGGTGATGGACTGTGCTGTCCGCACCACCCTCTGCAGAGATTTCCTCTCACGAACAGTACAGTTCCCGTACCAGGTGGTGATGCTGCCCGTCAGGATACTTTCCACAGTGCAGGTGTAGAAGGTCTTAAGGATGCTGGGGTTCAGGCCAAACCTCCTCAGCCTTCTGAGGAAGTAGAGGCGCTGGTGGGCCTTCTTCACCACCTGTGAGGTGTGCACTGCCCATGTCAGGTCCTCGCTGATGTGAACACCGAGAAACTTAAAGCTGCTGACCCTCTCTACCGCAGTCCCATTGATGGAAATCGATGGGTGTACTCTCTCCTGCTTCCTGAAGTCCACGATCAGCTCCTTGGTCTTACTGACGTTTAGAGAGAGGTTATTCTCCTGGCACCAGTTTTCCAGGATTTTAACCTCCTCTCTGTAGGCCGATTCATCGTTGTTGGAGATCAGGCCCACAACTGTTGTGTCGTCAGCAAACTTTATGATGACGTTGGAGCTGTGTCTAGCAGTGCAGTCATGGGTGTACAGGGAGTACAGGAGCGGGCTGAGCACACAACCCTGGGGGGCTCCGATGTTGAGGGTCAAAGAGGAGGATGTGATACTTCCCATCCTTACCACCTGCCGTCGGTCCGTCAGGAAGTTCAGGATCCAGCTGCACAGTGTGCTGTTCAGACCCAGATCCCGGAGCTTGCAGTCGAGCCTCGAAGGAACGATTGTGTTGAATGCTGAACTGTAGTCTACAAACAGCATTCTCACATACCTCATACCACCTATCATCCACCAAACACACTCACCTAGCTCAGAGACCCATAACTATGTCATCAAACAGTCGTTGAAATTTAAAGCAATTTTAAATAAATAAAACGAGATACACAAAATACTTTAAAAGCTCTTAAAAGGAGTCAACTTTAAACAAATTGTCAATTTAAATGAAAAAATCAACTAGGAAAAAATATAAAGCAAGCATGTAAGTCAATGTGACTTTGTAGAGAACTCATGCAGGTCACAGTGGTTTATGTAATCCAGTCTAAGTGCAGATAATCAATTTTCTTGTTAAAAAAAAGATTTTATTTACTTATTTATTGGACACTTACATTATATAATGCATCTTACATTATAATCCTGCATTATTTCTTACTTTTTTACTGTTCTAGAGGTCCACTTCTAATGTTTTGTGGTTTTATGAAGCAAAAACATTAATGATTCATCCTTACATATATATATATATATATATATATATATATATATATGTGTGTGTGTGTGTGTGTGATGTTTTCCACAAATGGACTGCATGCACTGTTTATTTAAAATTTGCTTTTATTTTAATGATCGCAATTTAAAGAGGCCTAATTTTCCTTTAGGTTCACTGTATAAACTCTTACTAAAAGACCTGTTGAAAAAGATCTAAATCATATTTGGCTATCTACATGACATAACTCTTTCTTCAGATTCCAAAAATAAATTTTCTGTTATTTAATATTATTTATTTGTTATTTAATATTAAAGCTTTGAGTGGTATTTTTGTATTGAAAGAAAAATGTCTGATTAGCCCTGTTTGTTTAGCCTATAGTGTCTCCTTTAAATCTGTTGGGTCTATTGAAATACTTAATTTCAGAATCAACAAAGAAAAGACCCAATGCTCCACACAAACAAACTCGTGAGAGGAGGAGTGGGGGGGTAGTCACAAGAGATGTCAATTTCCTGCTCTCTGGCAATATCATCTTACCATCATCATAGAAAATCAATGAACTGCTGTGGGCACCAAATCTTTGTTGCTGCTGTACATTGTAGACATTCAAGCGAACACCATCCTGAAAAGATTCAGCAAACAGTCGCTTTTGTGAAGAATATAGCTTGAGGAGAAAGAAATCATTTCAGCACTGACACTGGATAGAGCTGGATTTTTCTAAAGTTGTTGCTGAAAAAAACAAAAGTTATGTCTTCTGTCCTCCTGTTATGGGTCCTGCTGTCAGGTAAGACTCAGTCAAGTTGAACCTAATTAAGCTTTATGTAGTTTCTTTTTTAAGCCTGTTGAAAAATGGATGTAGCGAAATGTTATTTGATATAAAAGGTTGTTTTTTATTAAAACACATATACATCTCTTCTAGCTTTTGTATATTGCATATAAAATTGTATTTTACAAGTTTTTGTATGATGGTTGATTCACTTGATTTACAGTTTCTACAGTAAATATAAAAGACATTCCCTTTACAATTTCCAATAAACAAAACTTATATACAAAGAAAATATTAAATATGATCAAATATCAAATGGTAATAGGTTTAAACTGAATATGCCTATTTTCGTTTACTCATGGTGTCTCTATTGCCTATCATTGCATATTTATGATCTTCTTTGTCAAGTGATTTGTCAGGCTGATTCAGTACCAGAGAAGCCAAAGAGGTCTGCACTAAACCAGCTGACCCGCACGCTGCTGCGCAGATACGACTGTGGGGTCCGGCCCGTCCTCAATTGGACCAGTCCTACTGTCGTCTACATCGACATCATCCTCCAGTCTGTGCTGGACGTGGTGAGCCTGTTTACCAGCATCTCATCAAATTATTTTAGAATTCTACTGACTCTAGCATATTACTCTTGATCTATCTTATATTTCTAGAGCAAACTAAGGTTACTTTAAATCATTGCTATAAGGATTTCCTATTATAAATGTAGCTTATTAACCCAAATACCACACAAATTAATACTGTCTATCTAACAAGTATCTTTGTTTGTACTGTATTGGCCCAGCATGTTCTTAATCACCCTTTTACAGGATGGACAGACTCAGAAAGTGACCACAAGTATTTGGTATCGGCAAGTTGGTATCAGTTTATTAATAGGAAATATACAGTATTGTGGAAAAGTTCGAATCACCCTTCATTTATTTAATTTACAGTCAAAACAGCCATTAAGCTATTCATTTTTCTCTGTCAGGACAGAAAACATACACTAACATAAACTAAAAATTATGCAGAAGCCTCAACAACTAAATATAATATTAACATTTCCAAAATTCAGTCTTAGAAGTTGGTTGCATTTTCTGCTTCTCACAATCCAATTAACCCAAACACATTCAATGACGTTGACTGGACGCTGGTATGGCCAGTCCATTGTTCTGAAAACTTCCAGACTCATAGTGTTGAGTGTCTTCTCATAGTGGAAGGATGGACAGAAACCTCTGTGGACTTTTTCAGGTCTGAAGTAACAGTGGAGCTTGATTTTCTCCTCTCTCTCAAAGATGAAAAGTTTAAGTGCTGTTTATCTGATGGTAACAGCTTTGGTGGTCTGCTTGGTCTTGCATGGTTGTTAGGAATCCCATTTTTTTCTACAACCTTCGATCATTTTTGAACTCCAGTTTTGGAAACTCCTTTTTCACTTATTCTTTATTGAACTTCCCCCTCCTTATGCAAGTGGATTATCTCATGAATAACTTTTACTTAATGCTTGTTTTGAAATTGAATAACTGAAAGGTGGTCTCTGACATTTACACAGTACTATTAAAGTTACAGAGTCAGCTAATCATTTTTAAAACAATTAATACTAAACTATACCATCTTCATATTTCAGATATGGAAGGATGAGTTTCTTGTGTGGGATCCAGAGGAATTTGATGGAATCACAGAAATATCGCTGTCCTCTGACGCCATCTGGGTGCCTGATGTCATCATCAGTGAATTGTTAGAATAATAATATGCTTGAATGTGCTCTCAATATTCAACGCTTAAGTGAATTATTAAAATGTTCAGTAACAACTTTCACCTCTACCTGTAAACTGATTGAAATGACTGGAGAATTAGACGGAAACAGATTTGTCCAATTACATTGTGTAAATGATAATCATTAATGCTTGGACTACTTATGCTTCTGTTTCACACATGTTCATTCATCTCTCTTTAGCGTGGATGAGGGCAAGTCCCCTGTCATCCCATATGTATATGTCAACTCCTCTGGGATAGTGAAGAATTACAAACCCATCCAGGTGGTCTCAGCCTGCGACTTGGAGATTTATGCCTTTCCCTTTGACAAGCAGAACTGCACTCTGACCTTTCGCAGCTGGCTCCACTCGGGTAAAGCCCTCAGTTATACGCTCTGCATGCTTTCGCTCTCTTTCAGCGTAGACATCACACATCTAAACAGAACCACTCAGTCTTCCATAAGGCTTTTTCTTAAGCAGTCCCCCTTGTCACATCTTCATTAGGCTGGCTTTACACAATGGAACTTTTATGTAACTAGTTGCATGAAAGTTTCACTGTGTAAAGCCAGCATGCACTGTCAGAAAAAGGTACTGCCCAGGTGTTTTTTCTAAGTTACAAACAGTGTAAATGATACCCTTAAAGGTACAACAAGTGCTTTTAAGGTCCAATTTTGTTAAACTTTAAATGAGTTTTTCCCAAGAGAAAGTTTCATATACACTTTGTACATATTTGTACTTTTTTTTTTACCTAATGTTTTAAATCAACTGGACACCAAACAGAGTATGCAGAGTCAAAACTTAATAATATAATTGTTATGGAAAATTATACAATTATATTCCCAAACTAAAGGTACTGAAGATGTATCTTTGTGGATACCACCCAAGTGACAGTTTAGTACCCTTGACAGTTACCCGAAGCAGTTAAAAAATAGTCAAAATTGTGCACTACACAATCAATGACTCGATCTGTCTGTCTACATATCTCTTGTTCTTTACTACATGTTCAAGTTTTGTTCGGTTCCATGTATCTTAAGCCTTTAAAAAGTGTTTAAGTAGCCATTATGGTTGTACTTCATGTCTCACTCATCCTGTCACGGAAGCACTGCAAATTCATCAAGGGTCATATCTCCTTTTCATCCTTTATCCTTTGATTCCCAAGGAATCTCTGGCCTAAAATGAGGGGGCATCAAGAGAATAAATTTGAAGACAAAAGGAATAATTTAGCAAGATCACAATAACAGCAGGCTAACAAAGAAGAATCAACACTGGCACAAGCAGCAGTTTAAACTACCTGACAAAATGGAATAACTACCAGTCTTGCATGAAGTTAATCAGGAGAAGCTCCTTTTCTCTCGCCCAATACACCATCTTCTGTTTTATTTTTATGTCCACTAATGTGCTGAAATCAATAGTTTGAAGTGTTGTTGCACGATATGATCATGTAAAGTGTTATCTGCCTGTTTCATGAAGCTTGCTGAGATGCTTGCAACTGTTGCAGCTAAGTTCAACATGAGTTGCAGGATGTAGGTTTCAAGCAGCTAAGGTTACATGTAATTTTCAGTGTTTTACTGTCTCACAGGACATATTGGTGTGTCAGTTTGAATCAAGGCAAAGGGTCTATTTGTATCTATAAGCAGTTATTTGAGTACATGATGTTTGACGTTGACATGTGCTGTTTGCTCTATGTTTGCAGTGAATGAGGTGGACCTGGCTCTGTGGAGGAGCGCTGAGGTTATTGCCAATGACACCAGAGAGTTCATGAATGATGGTGAATGGGAGCTGCTTTCCATTCCCTCTCATTACTGGAAGATGAATTTGGCTGACAGGGACTACGCCCACATTCAGTTTAACGTAAGGATGAACGTCTAACTTATTCATCGAACAAAAAACATCGTAGTACTGTACACTTTTTAAAAAAATAATAGATCCTCAATGGTTCCTTGCTTGGATATGAAAACCTTCATTAGTATAGAACATTTACATCCTGTGGAGGTTCTTCAGAGTTTAAAAAGAATTTATCACATTCATATCTTATTTATAAAAATTGATTTATTTAAAAATACAATGCATTAAAATATTCCACAGGGCGGTGGTTCTCAAACTAGTCTTCAGGTCCCCCAAATGATCCACATTTTTGCTCTATTCCAGCTCTCAACAAATCTCAACTGAGCCATTAAGAACACTGGATACATGGTATATGTATATTAGAGCAAAAAAAGGGGGCCGAGACCAAGCCAAGACGAAGTCCAAATGAGAGTGAGACCGAATTAAGGCTCAATGAGAGCAAGAATGGGTCAAACCAAAACCTTTGGCCTATTTATTTTCAAGAGTGATATTTACAAGCAAAACAGGTATCTACTAATAGCCTCCCTTGCAAAACTTTGAACAAAATATCAGGTTACTGACAATAACATTTGCTAAGGCTGCACACCTTATCAAGTAGTGTTTCTATTATAGCCAGTGCAGTGAATGCTTCTAATAGTAGATAACTGACTAATTTACATGTAAGTAATGTATCCAGCAGGGAATGAAGAACAAAAGGGAATAATATCCAGTTTTCATTACCACTCGCCTGTCTCAGGGAAAGAAAAAACAGACTATTTGTCTTGTCAGATGTTCTTTTCTCCACCCCACCAGTCCTTGTGGACTAAAACACTGAATGTAAAAAAGTCTTCAGGATGTGTAAAAGTATTGACAGCAGTCTGACATGTGTCACACCCAGTGTGGTAAGCGTTGTGCGGCTGTTAGCAACAGTGCACTAATGCTTATAGATGAGGCTTAACTGTGGACAGTGTGCTGTGAGGATGACGATAATGAGACTGTCTCTATGGCGTTTGATCAATGGCCGTCTTGTTGGGTGGGTGGAATGGGCCGATAGCTTTGAGGGGCCGGGCGAGCCACCCTGTTCCGCAGAGATGCGCACACATGGAGAAAGTACCGAGGCGCTTTGATTACCTTTGCTTCATGGCTCATTGGCACAAGCCATTTAGGGATCCATATTTGTGTTTTCATTCAGCAGCCAAACGGGTGGGGTGGGGTGTCGTTTAAGTCAGTGTGAAATTGCTCTTTGTTATCCTGTGAAAGTTTAAGCAGCCTTAAAAGAGCCAAAGTGAAATGGATGGTTAGCTGGTTCGACTCAAGAGTGCTGTGAGAAAACAGAGCGAGCTTTTTGCAGTTACTGTAGGCCTAGTGTAGTACTCATGAGGATCAGAGAGAGCCCTTTCAGCTCTAAAATGAGCATTTATACTGATGGGTCTGGGGAGCAGAGGAATTAGTGTAGTGTATTAGTGTAGGCTTCATCTCTGCCCTTCTGATGTGTCTGCAATTGCTCTTGTGCTAATATGAGACTCATGTCGCAAATTGTCTTCCATTTCACCTTATTCATACAGTGGCCTTTTTGCGTATTATGTCACACGCAACCAATGGTGCCTCATAATCCAAATTTCCCACTGTCTCTGCTGGGCATTTCCCAGGTGAAGACATTCTATCTGTGTAAACTTTTAAACATTTTTTAGACAGCTTTAAGTGTTACGATGGTTACCTTCTACAACAAAAGTAATATGAAATATTACACTTTATGGTTTTATAACTGAATTCGAAAGCACCTCTGTTATAATCAAAGAAGTCATTGTTTTTGCAAGCAAAGTATGTGGACCCAGCTTTGTAATTCACTTATTCATGTTAAGCAGGCTTTGTCCTAGGGGAGCTATTAGCACTCAAATAGCTTTTGTGTGCATCACTGAAAGGGAGGAAACCCACACCGGCAGGGGTTCACAAATGGACAAATTTAAAAATGGCAAAACAAAAAGTTGCACTGTTTATTTTTACTTAATATAATCTAACATGCACATTTCTCTGTAATTAATTAATTCTAAAAAGCACACGTGCAAAAGAGCAAAGTAAACTGTGTAGAGCATCTGTGTGTCTTTTTAACAAAAATATTATCATGTTTATAAAAGATACACATATTTAGATAAACACTATTCATAATACCAGTAAACACCTTTCCTCTTTGGATTTGAAAAAGAGTCAGGGATGGGTCAGGTTTAATTGTCTGTAGCCAATTCTGTTTTTCACAACTTTAACAATGATTTGCACTCAGACTGCATATTGTAAGAAGAGGACACCCTGCTGGGGAGTCCAGGGTGAACACCAATGAGCGATGCACCAATGAGCAAAGCAGTTTAATGGAGGAAAATTGGAGGGGAATACAGGCATGCACACATTCAGCCCCTGGCAAGTTGCAGCCAGAGGCAATTGCCTATGTTGCCTATGCCAGGAGCCGCTACTGGCTGGAACAAAGTAGTCTGTCAGTAAGAAACTACGAGAAAGTGGAGCAAAATTGTCCCCCGAAGGTGTCCCCATCTAAATACTGAAATGACAGCAGTTCATATAAATTACACCCCAGAGTGCATAGAGGTTCAGTTTCAACTTCCCACACTGAGTGTGATGTAACAAGCAACAGGACCACTTGGTACGGTAAGGTAAGGGTAATGGGATAAAGTAAAATTTGGCCTAGTGCAGATAGTTCTGGCTTTCCAAAACAAATTCTGTTCTTACACCTCCTGTTTCCCTATAGCTACTGATCCGTCGGCGCCCCCTGCTGTACGTGGTGAGTGTACTCATCCCCAGCATCTTTCTCATGGTGGTGGATGTCACCAGCTTCTACCTTCCACCAAACAGCGGTACTCGCATCACCTTCAAAACCAACATTCTGCTGGGCTACACAGTGTTCAGGGTTAATATGATGGATGAGATCCCTGCTACAGCCATCAAAACTCCTCTGATTGGTGTGTTAGCAATCTTGAACTTCTACAGTCTAAGCATTTTTTTCTCATGGACACTGAATTGCTAGTTTAGTAGTTACACCTATCTTGTACCAGCACACACTGGCCATTTTATCTTGTACACCTATGGTATAGGAGCACTATGTGGGTGCAAGCCAGTGTATATTATAGTATACCTACTACAATACAACTGAAATAGTGTTTATATGTTCCTTGTTATACATTTTGCAGGTGTCTTCTTTGCTGTTTGTATGGCGCTGCTGGTGATCAGTCTGGCCAAGTCCATTTTTGTAGTGAAGCTTCTGCATCACAATGAGAAAGAGGTTAAGGAGATGTCGATCTCTGCCTGCTTACTGGACAAGTACGGTTCAACCACGCAGACCTTCAGCGAAAGTCTGTTCACCTCCGTCAGGACCCTGGACGACTTGGATCAATCAGGAGGTGTGGGAGAGAAAAACATTAGTACACTGCATACGGTCATAGAAACAGTTTAATGCTCATGAACTGTGTATAGTCATAGACACATTTAAATGCTTTCAGTTTTTCAAAAAATCTGCAAGGACATTTTTCTACACCTCTAAAGCTCAGTCTTAGAAGTTGGTTGCATTTTCTATTTCTCACAATCTGCATAATCCCAGTTACAAATTTAGACTCATCAGTCCATTAGACCTTACTGCAAATCTCAAATACTCAGTTTTGGTGTTCTAGTGTAAATTGTCTTCTTTTTTGTCTTACCTTACCTTTTGGGTAAACTTGTCTTTGGTTTTGTCATATTTTCAGGTTATGAGTTTGATCTGTCCCCTGAGGCAGACCTGCTTTCTCTGACAGAAGCCCAGGATGGCACCCCACAGCTGGAGAAAGTCCTGCAGGAGGTGGTCTCCCTCAAACTCTATCTGCAGGAGGAGGAGAATGAGGGCACAGCTCAGGCAGACTGGCTGGCGCTCTGTTACAAAGTCGACAAGTTCCTCTTCCGCATTTATCTGCTCATTCTGCTGATTTACTCCAGTACTCTCCTGTTTCTGTGGAGCAGCTGGAGCTCAGGGTGAGGGAGGTCCAGATGGACAGAGAGACACATAGACTTCCATCCATGGAATAAACGCTAGAGAACACAACAGTAAAGAATTACTGTAATGACACATGTATGTATCCGAAATAAATAATAATGTTCACAAAATGTTCATGAAATTAAATCAAAGCCTGATAATCAAATCTAGAAGTGCATTACTGAATGAATGAACAATGTTGTATGTGCTGTAGTGTGGTCTGGAAACAATCAACTCCAAACAACAAAGCCTGAATTACTCATGTATTTTTCACAATTTATGGAAACGGGAAAATGCAAAGTTACGTAAAAATGTAAATGTCATAGAAAAAGAGTTTTATGTTATATTGTAAGATGTAAGACGTTTCATTAACACTTTACTTGGATCTTGTTACATAGCGTTGATTGTTATGGAAAATGTCATATGTTATGAGTTGCATTAAAACATTTTGTTGAGTAAAATAACAGTGTCATGGTACCATTATCGGTAACTGCCATGACCATGTATAATGACAACTTGAATGGTAACACAACACTTATATTACTTAACATATTCTGTAATGACAACTGATGACAGCATATTATCACTGTCAGAACAAAAACTCTTTACCTTCGTAGCTTTTCCTTTTTTTTCTTACAGAATTTGAAAATGTCAGATATCTTTTACAATGGGTTGAAATTTCATGATGTATGGAGCAACATAAATGGTCTAAAATTATGTCTCAAAACATATTGTTTGATTAACCTTCACTGAAAGTTAAGAACGTTTTCCCCATCTCCTGTAAAGTTACCATTTTGGACATATAAGGTTTTGTCATGACAGCAACAATATGATATGTCCTGCGATATCTGGTTAAGTTGCTGTTATGAAACAAGGTTCAAGTAAATGGTCATCTTCGACTGTAAAAACAAATTAAGAGGGCGTTAGGCACACTAGCATTCAAAGGTTTGGAACTACTCATCATATTAACAGCTTCTGTTATTTAATGTGAACCATTCTATCAGCTGAATTAGGTCAAACTGCAGTCCCACAGTAAAAGCTATTTAAAAAACAATTAAGTATTCAGACTTTAGGTATTTACAAGGATCATGTTATGATCTTTTTAAACCCAAGGCATTAGTTGAGTATTAAATCTACAAAAATCATTATTGATAAAGTACTTTCTACTGGGAGGTGTCTATCCCAAACCCTGACCCCTAACTTTTGAAAATAATGCTTACATGTTTTTGGATTTCTTTTAAAATGGGGTTGAAATATTTAGATTTATCATGAGTTTAATTTAAAAAAAATAATAATAATATTCAAAAAATGCTGTCTCGTGTCTTCAAGTCAGTACCAAAACACAAAGAGTTTTAGTCCACCCCCCCTGCATTTTAGAGCAGGAAGTGAGACTGAATCCCTGTCCCTCATAGCCACATAGTGAGCAGTTAGATATTAGTACACGTGTCCCATAATTCGAAAAACAGTGTCTAGCATTAAAAATTGCCACTACTTAAACACATCATTTTTATGAGTGTATAACTGTTCAAAGGTGTGCTTGCCACTGGCTCGCGTTTTTGAGTTATGCTCAAAACTCAATTAGCTAAAATTAGCCACTACTGAAACGGTCATTACTGAAACATTTTGGTAGTGAGAAGATTTTCAGAGACAAAAGGGAATGTTTGCTTTCACAATCAACACAATTATAGAGTAGGGTCACTCAAAGCAAAAGGATTTTCATTCAAAGTCCATGTTAAAAGTCCAAAATGTGTTTTGAACTCTGACTTTGAACCAATTCAGCAGAATAACCCTAACCATATACAATTATAACCAATACAGTGTATACATAGGTAATTTTAGATGGTTTATTTAGTATGTTGAGAATTCACTGAACAAGCAGTTACTATATGATCAATAATATGCTGTAATTATATATTTACTGTTACTTATAGTCAAGTAATCTACCTTTCATCTTTTGAAACTTTTCCAGTCATTTTAGTATCTTTCATGGCTCCATTCATCATTCTGGACACATCTAAAATGTCTTAATTTTTTTATTTACAGCTTCGTAGTGTCCTAGTAATTATCTGAAACCTTGTGGAGTTGCACAGGATGAGTATATTAGTATCATTATATGAGCTTGTCTGCAACCAAGTTGGTTTTGTATATTTGAAAACAGCGATTCCCAACTTTTGAACAGCGTTTCTAAACTTTTGAAGGTACTGGATGTTCCAGGTAGGAATAAACTTAATCATTTAGTCATGCTCTGCAGTGGCAATCTCTGAAATTCTCTTCATGATGACAGCAAACTAATTCCAATATTTAAGCTGTGGAGTATGTCTGTATCCTCATAAAAAAGCAGGCTATTATTCTGCATCCATGTTTGAGAGCAAGATAGATAGACCATATGATCATGGTCTGCTGGTCCAGGTTCAGCAGAGCTTGTATCAATAAAATATGATTATTAATTCAGAACGCTTATCGTTTTTTAACAGTAAGAGGATCATCTATCAAGCTCTCATTTGCTTACCGAAAGATAAACCGCAGCCATATCCAGGTCACTACAGTTAGTCTTCATTACATAGTGTATCTGAACTGGCTGTCCAGTATGAAAATAAAACCTAATTCAATTCCTCAACAAATTTCTGGTAATATTTTCCTGACACAAATCTAATCAGCTCACTAATGTAGAGCTAATGAAGTCTCATCATGGCAGGGCAGAGTATAGTATCTCAGTTTAATGTAGTAAGTGCTCATGGAAATTGACTTGAACTTGGCTGAGAAATATGACCCCAGCAACGTGACGAGCGGCTGTTATGGACATTCAGCCAGACGGCCAGCACGTAAGTGTGGGAAAAATCATTAACGGTAATGCTACACATTTTACATTCCAATTTTATGTCATTAACTTCACTCCAGATATTCTAGTTGCAAATAGTTAAAATATCTACTAATTTTTTATATATCATACTGTCCAAATGCATAAACTGAAGTATAAGCTTAAAGTATAAGTATAAAATGTCAGAGTAGACCTATTTAAGACTTATATTTAGACTAATTAGGTAACTATTATGTGTCCTTGCCTCTGCATCAATTATGTATACATCTCTATCTTTAGGTCTGGGAGATTTCTTAATTCCTAACTTATTTCCTAATGATGTAGTTACACAATGCCGTCTTGGACCAGCAGACTCATCATATGGTCTCTTTTGCAGTGATCTCAGCTCGTTCAGCAGGAGGGGCGCAGTGGATGAGATGGAGTAGGGTGGGGGGGTTAATTGGTGCAGCAGTGAGTGCTTCTGGTCAGCTCAGAGTTCCAAACTCCAGGGTGCATCATCAGCTGAAGGAGGCAGTCCACAGCAAACATTCAGCGACAGGGCTACTTGTGATAAGAGCGACAGTGGAGCAGCGAGCAGAATGCAGCCTTTAGCACTGTGGACAGCGCTCAGCGTGTGCATGCACGGCGCAGTGAGAGCTTGCTCAGGTAACTCTGTCAAACCTGAATTTCTTTGAACTTTTGTGACACTCAATTGAAGTGATGGTAGGTGCTGTACGATGTTATAATAATAGTATAATACAGTATTATTTTCTTTTTCTCAATATACATGTTGTTGAGAGTGGGCTTTACACATATATCAATGTTCTATTATAGTCATATGCAAACGTTTGAGCACCCCTGGTCAAATTACACATTGTTGATTTTCTATGTAAAAAAGGTCTTTACAGGGAACAAAGTTAAATATGGCATCTGCTGTTCAATTTAGCTCACAGTTTCTATTTATTTGCTGAGTTCAACGTGTTGAGGAAAAAAAAATAAAACAAAACATGTTAGCTTATTTTTACTGAAACGTAATCTGACCGGGGCGCCCAAACTTTTGCATATGTATGATTAAAACCACCTTAGAGAAATAAAAATGCTTTTTTGATAATGTTTAAAACCATGTATCTCAGCATGAAAACAGTGAAAAGTCATTTAAGATTAAGATTTGCTGTTTTCAAAAAAAGTTGCTGATGTAAGAACATAGGGTGGATGGGTTTCTCCATGATGCCTCTAGTTATCACAGCAATTTGTCCAAATCCACCACCAGCCACCTGATTTAACTTATTGAAGAGCTGCTTGAGCCAAACTAGGTGTTGCATTAAAACTACAGATAATATTGGGTTCGAAGAGAAGAGGTTTAGAAATGGTTAAACGACAACTTTAACAGATGTCTCAAAAAGTGCAAAAGTGTGCAAAAGTCTCAAAAGTCTTAGTCACCAGATTTTCTCAAACTTACGGAATCATCTACAGCTTTGTTCATCATTCTGGACTGATCCAAAATCTTTTTCCACAGCTTGCTAATAATTCCTTGAAATCTGTGAAGCTGCACAGATGAAGCATCACCATAGAATCTTTTCATATATTTATCTGCAGTATTTTTCTTTATTTCATGATTCTAAACTTTTGAACACTAGTGTATGTATACTTTATGGAATGTTGTATTTATCTATCGATATTATACTCGATATTATTATATCGATATTACTGATATTATTATATAGTTAGCATTTTTGCTTATTCTCTTTCACTTTTGCAGTGAAAAAACTGGGCAGCAACACAGGACGATTTGCCAATGCCACTTTAGTCCGGCTGTCAGAGTTCCTAAACGCTGGATACAAAAAAGGAGTTCGACCGGTGAAAGACTGGCGGGATTCGACAATGGTGGCCATTGACTTGATGGTCTATTCTATTCTGAATGTGGTGGGTTGATCGACTGCTATGCAGGTATCATTACAATCATTATGATATATGTTTTCGTACTTTTACTAACAGGTTCAGAATGTTTTTGTGTGAATTTTCAGGACGAGAAGAACCAAGTTTTGACAACATACGTGTGGTACAGACAGGTAGGCTTTGGTGAAAGACAGTACATAGAAACTGTGTGATCTTTTCAGCTATCAGCATCATTTTTGATGGAGCTTTCATTACAAAGAACAATGCAGTCTTGGTTAAATCGCTTCATTAATGAATTTTTTAACATATT